CACACACACACACACACACACACACACACACACACACACCCACACACAGAAGGAGATCAGCAGAGAAAGACATTAACCAGAGAAAGATAATTTGAGATACTTCTGAGGTAGCAGTTGTAAAATTAAAATAGGCAACTCATTAAATTATCCATAGAATGAAAAGAAAACTACAAAAATAGATATTTTTCTGGCAAGGCAGTACTTTACAGAACACATTTGGTTTTAAGCAGAATCTTAGGATTAGATGATATCAGTTCATATTCATTAGATTTATTTAAATGATTAGGATAGTTTGTCTCAACTGAAAGCAAGGATTAGTTTTATTGGCCTTTGGCAGAAGTATATTTAACAAAAAGTGTGTTTAGGTAGACAACTATTTTCACTGAAACATTGTAAGCATTGATGAAATGAGTGTTATTTGATTAAATTGGAGCCTGGGTTATAAATGACAGAATTAAAAGTGAAAATCTTTTGTAAATTATGTCGTAATGTTAATTTCCCCTCATTTCCGTTCACTGAATTTGTAGGAAATCATCTTTTTTTTTTTTTTTTGTGATCCTCACATTGTCTGATTTTAGAATGTTGTTTCTTACTAAAGCTTCCCCTAGAGGACAGGCCAGGAAAAGGAAAGAACCTAAATTCACTAGCTTCTCTTTTTATTAAGAATTCAGATTAGAAACCTGATGGGGGAAAGGCCTGGCAAATGAAGAAGCCGGTATCTCTTCACTTTAGATCTTTAAAAAAAATCTTATTCCTGATATACACTGACAGGCAATTAATAAATAATATATTATAAGCTAACAAATCACTTGCGTTTGAAAAAGAATTGCCATCCACTGCTTTAAGCTGATAGTCAAAATAACTAGTAGTTTGTTTCCCTCAAATGAAATGCTGTGTGCAAAGAGAATGTTAAGAGGAACCTTCCCATTATGGAGTGTCTGCCTGCCAATTTGCAAAGCTCTTTCACTCTCTTCTATCCTCCAAAAATTGCTGTGTTGTAGGTCTTACTATCAATGACACTGAAAAAGCTACAGGCAGGATGAATATATTTTCATCTGAATCAATACTGATATATTCCATTGGGGGAGCTCAACCAAGCTAAAATCTCACGCACAGAAATATTAATATTCAATGCCAGAGAGTGAAAAAGTAGGCTAGGTTACTGCTAAATTTTAGAAGATAAAATTACCCCCTCCATTCCCTGTGCTTCTTTTCTCCCCTTTATTATCTTCTAATCTGAGGTCTGATTAGAAATAGGACAACTGAAAAATGTTGCCTTCACCCAAAGCAGTTCTATGTAAATACACATAAACAGTGAATACCAGGTGCACCATTCTTAAAGTGACATTCATTTCCCTGACACATTAGGCGAAACCATTTCATCTCATAAGTCAAGGGTGTGTGTGTGTGTGTGTTGTGTGTGTGTGTGTGTGTGTGTTTGTGTGCGCGCGCGCGCGTGCCCGCGCGCGTGTGGTGACGTTTTTAAGGTTTATTTCAAGTTGTTAAAGATTTTGAGATTACAAGAATTACACTGTCAGGCATTTTCTCTTCCAGTCTCCCTGGGACCCCAAGTCTACAATTTTCTCGGTTCGACTGTCAGATAAATTGGCAAGTCGACTAAAAGGATAATATTCCCTTAACGATGCATTCATTTGAAGCCCTAGCAACTGTATTAGGCAGCAGCGAGTATTCGCAAGTAAGGCATCTCGCCGAGAGAAGGAAACTCTGCAATTTAGAGTGACAGATGATTTTTTTTTCATCTCTCAAGCCGCCTCAAAATGTCACAATATTTACACCTCTTCCTTGGTGAATTAGAATCCAGAGACAGGCAGGCAGAAGGAAAAAAAAAAAAAATCCGACCGGTTGGTTGCCACTTGATTGGGGAAAAGCAAACGTTGCACCTTTAAATTCTGCCCCTCCATTCCCCGTTCTCCCCCTTCTTGGGATTTTGCAATAAATCTCCTAGTTCTGCGTTCAGCCCTGCAGATCCGTATTTAAAACAGCACCATCTGGGAAGGGTGGGTGGCGATGGTGATGCGGACTCCTTGGAGTTCCTTTGCAGCACGCTTGGAATTGCATCAGACTGATCAGAAATCCCCCCGCCCCCAAGCCCAGCCGCTCCCGCCTCGCTCCCCTCCCCGCCCCTCCCCTCTCCTCCCCTCGCGTAGATCTGACTGAGAAAACGACTGGATCTCGGAACAATCTGTGCCCCATTCGCTGCGAGCCTGCTCGGTAAACCCTGCCCTACTCTCCCTTTGTGCACCGAGCAGCCTATCACCGTCATCTGATCCTAGTGCCTGCTTTTTATCTTCGCCTTCCCCCTCGCCACAATATCCTCGTGTTGCGGGCGCCTCCATCCTTTCCACCTGGGCAGAGTTGGGACCCTTTCTCTCCTCCCCGCGCACCCCCGGGTCTGGAGTTGCGGAAATCGGCTTTCCCTTCCGCGCGCGCCTCCTAAGCCCACTCGCGAGCCCCCCGGGGCCCCTTCATTAGAGACGGACGGATCTGGGAAAAGGAGGGGCGCGCGGGACGCCCCAGCCCCGAGGCGGCAGCTGCCAACCGGCAGGTCTCGGCGGCCGGAACAAAGGGGAGGCGGGTGGGTGGAGAGTGGCTGAGGACGGTGGCCCCCCACGCAGGGGCGCGGGGCTCCCCCAGGAGAGGCAGGCGGCCCGCGGCGCCGCGCGCGCGCTCAGGCCGCTCGGGGTCCCCCGGGGGCGGAGGCGGGGGAGGTGGAACGGAAGGCTGGGAGGCTCAGCGCTCCGCCAGCTCCCCGCCCCCTGGGCCACCCGGCCGCCCGCCCGCCGCCCCGCGCCTCCCCGGGCAGCCTCGCGGTGGCGGCGCGGTCTGCGCGCTGAGCTGCCCGCCCGGCGACTCGGTCCGGCCGCCGCGCGGAGCTACGGGTCTTTCCGCCACGTCCGTCCGTCCGGCCGCCCAGGCACTCCCCTCCCGCCCCCATCCCCTCCTCAGGCCCGCGGAGTGGACCTTCTCCTCCCAAGCAGCGCCCCCACCCCCACCCCTTTCTTTAGTTACCCCGACTGACTCGGACCCGGGCTCAGTAAGAGGCATCCGGCCCGGCCGGGAAGCAGAGCGCGATCTAGGAGGCTCCCCTTCCCTTGAGAAAGCGGGAGCACAGTGAGCCAGCGCTGGAAACTCGTGGGCAAGGAGGAAAGAAAGAAAGAAAAGAAAAACCCAGGCAGAAACATCCAGCGAGACGCGAGGGCGACCGAGGGGAAGAGAGAAGAGGGAGGGATGGAGGCAGGAGGAGGGGGCGGGGTGGAAGGAGGGGGGCGGGAAGGAGGGAGGGAGGGGGTGAAAGGGAGGGAGGGAGACAGAGAGAATGAATCCTTCTCACTAGAAGAGCTGAAATTACCTTGATTCATTTTTGTGTTGGGAATTTAGCGTTACCTCCTACCCCTCTCCCCAGCTTCCACCTCCCGGTTCCTCACCGCACACCACCTCCACCGCCAGATTCCAAATGATACAAAGTGAAATATTTAGGAAATTGAATGTTGAGTAAAAGCTTCATAATTAGTAATGAATCTACTGTACACACACACGCACACACACACACACACACACTCACACACACCGGCAAAGAGAATGAAAAAGAGGAGGATGAAGGGGAGAAAAAGATATCTTACATTTGAATCAGACATTTCAGATTCAACTTAACTAAACTCCTTATATCCGCAGGAAGACAGCATCCTCCGACTCCCCCCTCCCCCGTCTCGCTTTACCCCAAGGCTCTCACCTAGGGCAATTCAAACTGGGCAAATACCAAGAAACAACCCCTCCTTTCACGCTTTCCTTCTACTTCCTTCTCTCCACCACAGCGTTCTCTCCGGTAGATCGAGCATCAAAATAGCTCAGGAATTAGGGATGCAGGGGGTCCCCGCCCCGGTGCTTACCTTCTTTGCGGCTTACACCACCCCGGTGGCTAGATCCTGTAGATAAACACTTGCATTTCCCAAAGTTAACCCAGTATACCAACCCGGAGCTTGCCAAGAGTCTATTCCAGTCTACACCGCTAGGAAGCCAACTTCAGTGAGCTCAATGAGGGGACCAAACTGGGGCTCGCTTTTCCAAACGTTCCGCTCCAAAATCTGACTCTCTCCAGCCCCGATCTCAGTGTGAGCCGAACCTCAGAAAAGACGCTTCTTAAGGGCGACACGGAGCTGGCTTTATTGTGGGGCCAAGACGGCTACCTGGGGTACCACTATCTCGGACAAATCCGTTGGCTCTGTCCAAGGTGCTGAATGGACTCCGCTAGCCCTGATTACACACCCGGCGCAGAAAGGGAAAAAAGGCGAAAAAAAATTTTTTTCCCTCTAATTAAGTGACACTTGATAGTGCTCTAGACGATTTCTTCCACTTCCTTATGCTTTGTCACGTGCAGATGGCTTTGCCAAAATCATCTAGTTAATAGTTGATCACATGTTGATGAGACCCTTTTTTCCGTATAGAGGATTACCCATTTCATTACCCATTGATATGCACTTCTGACTTATTTCTCTCCCACCAACCCCACCCCCCCCTGCACCCAAACTCGTAATCGCTACCCCATCCTTACCCCTCTCCACCCCCTAATCCCAAATCTAATAGCATATTGTTTTAAGATGGAAATTAACCCCCTTGCGAATGTCAATTACATGCCCACATATAAATCATAGAATATGCTCATACACCACACACATAGAGGCAAAGAATTGAATGCAAGGAGGCTGGGAGAGAAACATTAGCTTTGAACAACCAATATAACACACACACACACACACACACACACACCATCCAGCTCTAAGTTTGTTCCACGCAGTGCCACATTGCTGTGTTAAATCTCAAATGATTCCAATTAAAGTTGCACTATGGAAAAACCCGATTCTCCTGGCCTGAGTAGCTGCTGTTCTTTGGCGTGTGAAGTGCTGGGAAGAGCTGTGATATGCCCGTTGTTAAGCAACATGTCAAGATTCTTCAATTATAATGCAGGGTTTATTGCTACTCACCATTGTGCCTGTGCTGTCCTGGAGACTCAAGTGTCTTAAAATCCCGTCTCCCCAACAGATGCTGGAAGGTAATGTGTCTTGTTTGAAGTCATCATGTGAGAAGTTCGGCTTTGCTCAGTGGATCGCCCACCACTTGGTGTGACTTATGAATCTAATAACCCTTTGCAATATCCGCAAGCTTAAACTCTCAACCACCTTGGCGACTACAGAAGACAAAGCAACTGGCATCGGTGTTGAAAAACCTATAGATTTACGCAAACGCCCTCACTCCGAGAAACACGTTTCTCTTTGAGTTCTTACGTGATTCTCATGAATGAGCGAGGTTGCCACTGGCTGCCCAACTGCCCTGCTCCAGCGCGGGGGATGGCTGGGGGCTGCCTCGCAATCGTCCGTCCCTGGGTCCTGGCACCGAAAGTTCCCCGGGAAAGTGAGGAGTTTCAGGGTTCGCTTGTAAAAAAATAACAATAATAACCCAGTCTACACCCCTCTCCCTTGTCCCACTGATCAGGTCACACCTGGGGCTCTGGCCAAGCTGAGTTCGGCTCGGGAGATTTCCCTTTCGCCAGGTAAGAAACCCTTCGCCTTGTCAGACTAGGGCGGGAAGACCGTAGGGGAACTTGTTGCTTATCAGCGCCAGCAGGCTACGGCTTTAATAATAATACCAGAAAAGCGTAGGGGGAGGCGGCTTGGGGGTTGGGGGGGCGGCGACGACGACGACTCTCCGTGCTGTTTACGTGACCAACTCACAGTCACTCCCTTGGTAAAAAGGAAACTTCTCCGAAAAGTTCTTCCCCCTCCCCCTAGCCATCATGACTAAGGGTCTCCAGCTGATGAGGTCGTGAGTGATGATCACTCACGGGGGGCGGGGGGTGGTGGTGTGGGCTTCGGGGTGTGTGTGTAGGGCGGGGGGAGGGGGGTGGAAGGAGGGAGCGGGGGTTGGGTGAGTGACTTGTCCTTGGGAACCTGCGTCGAAGCGCGCATCAGCCGGGCAACTTTCCCTTTCCCTCTTAGGGACCGATGACTCGGCGAGAGGCACCCGGGCGAGCCACTAGTTGCCCACCGGAGCCGGTGCCAGCGGCTCTCGGGGCGGCGGAGTTGAATGAAGTTACGACTGCGTGTGCTCTCAGGGGTTAAGGCCGCTGGTCGGCTTGTGCGTTCACCGCCCCGGTGCGCAGGCAGCTCGGCCTGGCCGGGCCGGGAGCAACGCTGCGGTTGGCGGCGGCGGCTGGGCGCTCGGCCACCGCTGGGGGCTTCTGCCCCGGGCTCGCTTCCGCCGCAGCCGGGGGCTCCCGGGGCCCAGCGGGGAACCGGAACCGCGCGCAAGAGGAGCCGGGGCGGGGTGCGGAGGGGCGAGAGGGAGGGGGGCGCTCCCAGGAAGCCCAGCGCTCGGCACCCGCGCGGCCCGGCCAGTGGCTGCGCAGGGTGGCAAGTGGGGAGGTCACGTGTCGGCGGAAAGTAACTTAGAAGGGCGACGAGGAACTTCCAGGCGAAGATCGGAAGCACGAGAGGGACAAACCACCTCCGCACCCCTCATCCCCCCCCCACCCCTCCACACCTTCCCACTCCTTTCCCGGGTGTCAAATACAAGCCCTGGCGCGTGGGGAGGGGGCCCGGCGCCCGTGATGTGTTGTTACTGGTGACCTGGGAAGAACTCGAGAAATCTCAGCAACAAGCACCCAGGCGTTCGTAGGCGACATTTACCCCCAATCTAGGGAGACGGTAACTCGAGGTATCTTTCCACTGAAGCATCTGCCCCTTGCCTGCCCTCAGCGGGTGCCTGCACGACCAAGCAGTGGAACCCAGCGTGGCTGGCTGTAAACCAGTTGTTATGGAGATGCCTGTCGCTCTCCGGGGGCGCAAGTGCCCTGGGAAGTCCCCGCACAAATTTCCAGTGTCATCGTTTGGACAGACACCATGATTTTACTCTTCACCCCAGTGTTCCCACGAAGGAGGACCCACCAACCGCGTCACAGGACCTGGCCGTGGCGCTATTGACTGGCTGCAGAGAGATGCTGCAAAAGATGGTGGATAGATCTTAAGTTTCAGACCATCCAGCGCCTTCCAATTTCTAGTTAATTTACACCGGTCAGAAGTGATATTTTTGAATGTTATTTATCATTCTCTCTGTGTTAAAAGCTTCATAACAGGATAGTATCACTAGAAGCCACAAAACATTGGCACTCTGGTTGCTTCAAAGTACAACTCCTCCCCCCACTTCCTCCTTACCCCAACACTACATTCTTTACAGAAAATAGGCTATACTTCCGCTCCTTGTATGAACTTCTCTTCAGTGGAGTCCCCATTGGTACGAAGTTATTGTTCCTAAAAGTAAGTCTAGTGTTGAGTTGATAGTGTTTCAGAGCCAACCCTTCTTATGTTAGGCTCCAGACAAAGTACAAAATGCTTGCCGGACACCATTAGGACCCATGTAGACTTGTTAGCTCCTGAAGACATTGAACAGGACTTCATAAAAGGATGCCAGGCACCTTCATGGTCAGCAATGCAACAGTTTGCTCCAATTAAAAGGGATACTCAGATTGTCCACAAACTGCCACTTTTTGTCAATCCATGAATTAGCCAGCAGATGCTGCCCTAAGACTAGGACAGCTGGCACATACCATTTTCAGAGGTCTTGGGGTACAGATTTTGTGGACAAAACTGGTTTCCTGAGAATATAATTCATAATGCTGTAGTCAAGTTCCCTTGCCTATTCAGAGACTGTATCACAGAGATCTGAGTTCATAAAACACCAGGAGGTGATAACTGTATGAATATAATTATTCCCCACTTTCACCTGTGTCATGTATTGATCTGACTTACTTGTCAGCATTTTCTGTGTAGAAACTCCCAGATATTCTGATTAATCTGTTCTAAAAATTTATCCAATTTTTAAAAATAGTGGAATACTTTGAGTTGTTGACTTGGGTACCTGGAAATTCTAAGAGTGAATGATTAAATGACTTAGAAAACGCATGATTGTATTAAAAGTATTCCCCAGGGAATATTTTGACCATTGCTCTTTCTTGGACCTATAGGAATCTACAACTCAAGGTAAGGGAAAGGGGAAGATTTGCTATATAATGACATGCTATAGAGAAGTAGGGAGAGAAGTAAAGACATCATATTTGACATATTTATAGATCTCTTGATTTGTCAGTGATCTAAGGGGAATTCTGTTTCCTTTGTGCACTATCTGCTTACTGCTTTAAAAAAAAACTCCATCCACTTACTTTTACATTTTCTTTTTTTACAGCTGCAGAAATCCAGTGTCTAATATAAGCAAAGGTTGCAGTCATTTCATTTGCTAAGATATACGCCAAATACTATACCTGCCACAATTTTAATCTTGGGAGCACTTACTCCTAAGGTCATTTCATTTTCTCCTCACAACCCTAGTAAGCTGTGATATGAATATTACACTTCTATGGTTCATCTGACCCCATTCATTTTTAGTAATGGTAAGAACATTTCAGGCTACCTTGTAAACAAATTCTATTCTTTTTTTTTTTTTTTTTTTTTTTTTTTTTTTTCCCTTTATTTTATTTTATTTTTTTTAAAGTTGTAGATTTACAATTTTTTGTGCTTTGGTTTCAATTATACAATGATCAGATACCCATCCCTCCACCAGTGCCCATTTTCCACCACCATGGATAATATCCCTCCCACCCCCATCCCCCCATCCCCCCGTCTCTGTGGCAGGGCAATCCCCTGTGTTCTCTCTCTCCTTTTGGGTGTTGTGGTCTGCAAAAGAGGCATTGAGTGGCAAACATGTTCAGTCCATAGTCTACTTTCGAACAAATTCTATTCTTTAAAGATCGCTACCTAACAATGTAGTTAAATTTAAGCATAGTATACAAATACAACATAAAGGAAGGCTTTTATACTTTCAAACTATGACTATTGTGATTCTTTTGGTGTATTATTTGATGTTCACATGTAGTTTTCTACCAAAGTCAGCTATACAATTTCTTTTCTACCTGTGCCTTTATAAAGATTGACACAAAAATAATAAAAAAGGTTTATTTTTTATTTATGTCTTCTAAGTTTTGTCCTAGGAGGCAAAACACATTATTAGGTAGATGATAGAATGTGTCAAAATTAACAAAATAGGATCCCACAAAAATAAGAAAAAGAATAACTCTTTCTTAGAAAATGTATATTGGACTTCTCCAGAATAAAAAAAAAGATTCTGAAAACAGAATTTATACTTCTTGAATTTTACAAGGAAATTTAGCAAGTCACACTAAAAAGAATGGTTTGGGTATTTGTTGCCACAAATAAGGGTAGAAGTGTGATATAGTACTTTCATTCTTCCTTTCCAACTTTTCTTTCCAAATTGACCTGGTTGTTAATTGTCAATCTTTTCATTTCACTTTGTGTTGGAGAGATTATTTTCTTCTTTTAAGTTTACCCCTACTTCTTTTCCTTCTCCTTTACTACTTATTCCATGGAAGGTATTTTTATAGGAGCTGGTATTTCATTGAATAATTTCCTCAAGAGTTTCAGAATCTAAAATACACACCATCTAATGTATAAAGAGTGAGAGTATAAGGTGAAGATGATACAGCTGAAGAATAGTTAGTTATTGTTAAGACATTTGTATGCCTTCTCCCAGTCATCATCTCAGGAATACTTGTAATCAGCGAAGGAGTGTTCACAGAGAGACTTCAGATAGTGACATAAATGCTGTCTTAGCAGATAAAAAGTAAACACTCCACAAGAAGCAAAAACAACAACAAACAAACTACATAGCAAGAGAGTTCTGTTTATATCTGTGAAGTGATTCTACCAGGTAGAAAGAAAGATTGTCTCTCTTAGTCACTTCCTGATCTTTAATGGTTCTCCACAGGCAATAGAGGGAGAGGCAAAGAATCACGATGCACAATTTGGAAAGCTTTCTGAAAACAAGAATAGGCAATGATTGCCAAGAACCTGGTGCTGTGCTCATATTTAAAAAGAACTCAAGGCATCTTACATCTACAAATCTAGTTTAGTTTAAAAGGAAACAGAATATCAAAAAGAAGCTAGCAAGAAAAAGTCATGGAAATGTGATTTAGTTACAATAACCTCAGTTCATTCTTGAGTCTGACAAGTAGGCACGAGACAGAAGATCTGGACAAGACTTAACTCAATTTCTGGAATACCAGACAACCCCATAATGAGGCTGAAGCAAGACCTATTGGAATATTGAGGAAGAACTGAATGACTTTCAACCAACTTAGAGACAAAATATTAATAAGAAGTATGAGTGGCAAATAAAGGAGAAGTTATGTCGTTAATATAAAAGTTAACAGGAAATTAACACAGGTCAAGAATATGTAATGTCAGGTTTTGAAAGAAAATATGCACAACTAAATATAAGATTATGTTAGGGACTGAAAAATGAGAAATATATTTCTAGGAAATAGCATGGCTCAGGAGTATGAGAGAGAAATAAAAGGTAAAAAAGTAATAGAGTTTTTTACATAGTGTGGTGTAACAGAGTATGGTTGCGCT